TTCAGATTAAATATAAAGAATGAAAAAAAACAATTAAATAAAATTTATCCACTTTCTTAATTTTTTGGTCATAATTCCCAATTTTTATGTAGAATTTTATAGTTTTGAAAACTGTCTTGTCTATCAAAATTGTGGTCACAGATAATTGGAGTATATTTGTCTTTTCCATATATTGTTTCTATAAGAGTAAGATGGAGGTTTATAACTTTCTTTCCTTTCATGCTTCTTGGTGCCATTTCTCCTTTCAGGATTCCAAATGGATGTAAAGCCCCTGTCTACATTTTCATTCCAGTGACAGACGGCTATTCAGGCTCGTGTGTTATAATTTGCATCACTGAACACAATTCTCTTGTCCTGAAACATGTTCATTGTATTGTTAAAATTTTCTACATATGATGTATCCCGTGCAAGAACAAAATGATCTGGACTTTTGAAAATTACAGATTTATGGATCACACCTAGAAGTAGTTTTTCTGCTATAGGTTTAGTGAGGACTATCCTTTTAGGTTCATAATTTAAATCTCTTTTGCATCTTGAGTCTCGGTGACATTTAGTATGGTTGTTTTTGTAATGTTCCACAACATTAAGCAAGAGGGCCTTCAGCTCTTTAGGAGTTTGTTCGCCATTACGAATTTCCCAATGAAAGTGGGTGGCTACTGATTCTACCTTGTCCTCAAGCTCGTCAGACCATGTTTTATCTCGTAAATATTTGGGTCCAGAGGATACTTTTTTCATGGCACTTTTCACTGCTTTTATTCAATGCCATGGATCATTCTGGTTTACTACATCAGAATCCAGAACTTACTTATTTATACTCATGTTCCTGTCATGTGAATGAATACCCACTTTTACATCATTATCTTCTAAGTACTGATATATTATTTGAGTTCCAAGTTTTTCGTGTCTCTGTGATACAAAGTCGTCTGCTTTAGTGACATGTTCACATTTCAGTAGCTTGTGCTTTTTCTCTCCTATGGCTACAACACTTGTATCCTTAGCGTTTTTCCTCAAGCCATGGCGGGCATCAGTCATAATGTCAATACTTGTTAAGTCTTCATACATGCCAACTTCTTCCATCAATGCTGTCTCAATGCTGTCATTGCATTCTTCGTCTACAAACTGTTTATATTTATTGAGCATGTAACTTTGTTTAGACTTATTGATTTGTCCAATATTGTCCCCCTGTGAAAATCTGTTGTAATGTACCGGTAACATTCCACTACATTCATATCTGTGGAAGATTCTTGAATTAACCATATATTCTCCATTTGGCAAATACGGAGATGATGACCAAAGCACAGAATGATGCTTATCCTTGTCACATGTAAATCTAATCGCTGCTACATGTCCTTTTTGAGTTAGTTTTTTTAAATTTAAAGTGACCTGTACAAAATGATTAAATGGTTTTCTGAAACACTGACCAATTTCTGTAATGAAGTTTCAGCTGTCACAAAAAGGTGCTGATCAACATCATTTTTTTCCACCTGAATATATGTGTTTAAATTCATATTTTCCATTTTGGTCTCAGAGTCGTCCAGACTGTGGGTAGAAATAAATTCATCCAGTACCTTCTCCAAAATGTAAGCATTATTGACCGAGTGATTCATCTCTTTGACTATAGTACTTCGGACATGTTGTAATTTATCCAATACAGATTTTTTCTTACTATCATCACCAGGTATAGATACTTTGAAACAAGGAGGTCTTTTAGATTCATTTTCCATCATTTTGGTATAAACAACTTGCACAAAATGGACCTAAGTATAGGAGGGAAACTTGATACCTACTTAATGTGTGAGCCTGTATCTTCAGGATACTAACAGGAGTTCTGTAATTATGTAGAAATGATCAAACTTGCTTATTGAGATAATTTAAATAAAAAGAAGAAATCAATGATATGAATTATTTTAAGAAAAAGAAAATAACAGAATTAATTAATTTATCCTGTACTAACCGCTAAGTAAAATGCTACATAAAACTAACCAGGGATCACAGCATGACAACACCTATTATTTGTCTTTTAATTTGGTTGATTAATTTCTTCATATAAAAGTTATAGATAAAACCCTGATGTTTATTATGTCTGTAGAATCTCAGCTGTTCTACACACAAAATAAATAAAACAAATAGAATGTCTTAGGAATTCCTCAATGCCATGTGATAGAACACGATACTGTCCATAAATCTTAGATAAGAATTTTGGAGGGAAAGTTGTTTTTACACCAGTTTCTACGTAGAAGTGTGGTCATCTCTGCAAATATGTCAAATGAGAGCACAAAATTATCACTTTTTGTAAATGAAGAACAGAAAGAAACAAAAAAGGGATTTTAAACAATTAAAAATTCGCTTATTATAACTGACGTTTTAATGAAACTATTACAGTGGGCCTTATCATACCTAAGTGACAACAGACCTTACGACGATTACTTGTACATTCTAACGGTGTTCACAGGACTACAAAGAAATGCTGGAACAAAATCAAGAATAGGTTTCATGATAATTGATGGCAAACCAAAGAAAAGCCATTTTCATGAACCAGATATACGACTATTAGATGACGAAACACATCGCGTGAGTTTTCTGTTTATACATGTAGTTAAATAAAAACGTTTATGATTTATATTTAAGATACAACACGTGAACTTTTTATGTGGAAAATTGGAGTTACATACATTTGTGTAGTAAGACGGATTACATACCTATGTTCAAATATACGACAAACATACGACAAACAAACACACATTTATCAAAACACATCGTATCGGTCACCAATTTGTGATGGTGACCATAAAAGCGTATGTCGCGTCGATTTCAGTTATGTAACGCCTGTAAACGAATTCTGTATAGGGAACATTCACGAGTGAAACGTTTTGACTGGGATATGAAAACGACATAGGATGTAAATCAAAAATCATTATAAGACATTGTTGCGTTTCAATATTGTCTAAACTTAGCAATGAACATCTGAATTATATGCAATAAGAATGTTACAGACAGGAATAAGTAACAATGTTGTTACTAGAAAATTTCACGTATGAAATTCCCCTTTAGGCCTCACAACAATGGCCATGCAGATGTGATTTGTTCTTAACCACCACAGATCGGGTCAACCTGTAGTTGAATAATTCATTTTGCTAGTAGGGTCTGCTTACCATGTTGGAGCACCTGCGATCACTCACGGATTTTTTTGGGGTTTGTGTTTCTCGGTCGTTTGTTTACTATGTTGTAGCTTAAGACTGATGTGTGTTCGTTATTTGGGGGAGGGTTGCAACGGCGTTGTTAGTTGTAAATTCAGCAACTTTAATTTATAATGGACCTTGGTACACTCCTCCTCATTTTTGTTATGAATAATAGATGCTGGTTATATTTCAAACCCAACCACAATAAAATAATAAATCTAGAGGGCATCAAACAGTCATGAACAATGGGCAGATGTCTATATAATGTAGCTAGACTTTAGCCGTCCGTAGTATATACAATAAAATATAAAAAAACACTAAAAATTAAATGGAAGCAATACATCTGCCTACCGCAAATTCTTCAAATGACAGATAAAATTAGATATAAAGAAAACAACTGAAATCGGACAGAAAAATTACTATTTAGCGGGCATAACCAAGTTGTTTTATTTATATTATAGGGTTTTGGTGTTGGTAGTATCCGGAAATTTGTCATGAGCGTTTCTAAACCAATAAATGATCCGTCGGTGTTAAAAATTTGGCATGATAATAGTGGACAAGGAAACTCGGCATCATGGTATCTTAATAAGATTATACTGGAGGATTTACAAACTAATGAAAGGTAAAGCTTCCAAACCTAATTAATTTTTTACCCTTAATGAATAAGAGCCTACATAGAAATATACATCTATTTATGTATCAATGAGAGTTTTCAACCGTATATTGATAAGAGTAAATAAAATGAAATTTTGTTTTAATTTTGTACTGGTTTCTTAAGCAGGAATGACAAGAGACAATATGTAGCTCATGAACATTCCAAAATGGTAAACTTATTCAAACTTTACAAACTTTTGTTAATTTTAATAAATGACTAGGTTTGGAATACATTTAAAATAATTTAAGCGCAAAAGACTACTTATGATGTCAATATGAGCCTCATTCGAAAAGATATTTTACACAGATATACGTCTTTATAATATACCTCATGTAGCAAAATATCTTTTTAGATATATTTTTGACTAATAATTGAATATCAAAGATACAAATATCTCCAAATTGAGACTATTTTGAAGGTGTTTGTTGTTTTGCCATAATTGCAAGGTTTTTAGCCGAAATGCAAATATTTCAGACCAAATTTCGATAGATAAATACACATATTATACAGATTAATGTCTTGTGTAAATCTGACTGATTTTGGTAGATTGATAATACTTTTTAATTTTAAATTAAAGGTTCTAAAAAATTGCCTTATCATTCTTCCTCTTCGTGTGCTAATTCGCCAGGCTTAACTGAACATGAAATATTTACATATAACTCTACACATGTACCAGAAATGAGCTCTTTTTGAGAGAAGTATACCTAAAAACCAAACGTATAAAACTCTCTAAAAATTGGTTCAAATTTCTCCATGATCTGCTTAAACACATTACGGCTCATTCTCAGACATTATATAAAACAGTCATTCATATACAGGCTCAAACACAACCACTTAGTCAAACATGAACATACATCAATCTACAAAACAAAAAATGTAATGGTTATTTAAGAATTATAAATAGCCTTTTTTTTCATACAAGAACAAAAAATTCCTTTCTAGATGAGGGTACGTAGAAAGTCTTTCGGTACCTAAAGTACATGTTCGGAGATTATACCAGCAATGCGACAAATAACATTCAATAAAAACCATTATAAACATTATAAAGGTTTAAGGTAATCTTAAACACGTGTTGATTTAAACAGACACACATGTTTTACCAAAAACAATTCAAATACATCTGCTTCCGTGATATCAATAAAGATATATTTTCTTTTATTTGACAGGTATCTGTTTATATGTGATCAATGGTTGTCTTTGGATCATGATGATGACTGCATTGATTGTGCCATACCTGTTTCAGATAAGTTGAATAAACATAAATTCTCATTTCTATTTCACGAAAAAACCAGACAAAACGCTACAGACAATCATTTATGGTTATCAGTTGCTATTCGACCCGAAGACAGTAACTTTACAAGGATAGAAAGATTGGCTTGTTGTTTGACATTGTTGTTTCTTACTATGATCTCAAACGCAATGTTTTATGGACAAAACACCGGAAGTCGCTTTTCAATTGGACCAATCAAATTATCACTTTCTGGGATATACATTTCACTTATTAGTGCCATAATTGCGGCACCTCCAATATTTTTAGTATCTTATATGTTTAGAAGTTCGAGACATCGTACAACACGCGAGAAGAAGCCTTTAACAAATACTGCAGAAGACCTTGACATTACACTAAAATCCACTAAAAAGACCGATGTGGAAACCAGTTCCAAAGCAGATGTAACAGACGAGTCTCAATTTTCGCTTCCGTTTTGGTGTAGATATGTAGCATGGGGAATAGTTACATTGGCCGTCTTTGTATCTGGATTTTTCCTAATTCTTTATAGCATGGAATGGGGAAAGACGAAGTCAGAGGAGTGGCTTCTTTGCTTTTTTATGTCATTCATCGAATCAATGCTCCTTGTTGATCCACTTAAGGTAAGAAAATCGAGGTTTCTCTATACATATAATATAGTTAGCCATAATTCTTACAACAGTGTTACGCTATAAAAGGCTATATACGTCGTGATTGAAGTAACACAAATTAAAAACAATAGGTAATGAATACAATACTCAACATATAGTTTGCATGGACTACACTATTTCCGTATACTCTGCTTAATATGAAATGTCAACTAAAGCATATTATTATAAGTTAGAAGGTCTCCATAACCCGTAAGTTTTGATGTAAATGTTGAATGACGTTGCAAATTGTATAGGTAAAATCTAAATTACCAGTGGTTTGTGAATTTGAATTTCTGTTCTTAGGAACTTCTTAGTGGACAATGTATATAGATAGAAGTGGGTATGCTGCATAGTAGTATTATTCAAAGTAATTTATAATATATATACAAGCAGATAATTTTATGGTGATTCATGAATTAATTTGTTGACTGTAGTTGAAATTGTGTGTCTTACAATATATTTCATATTTGAAATAAACACTGGTTAGACGTTAAATCACAACCTATATGATTAAATCTAAATTATCGATATATATCAAATGATGTCATGTCACTACCTGTTTGTACATTAACATTACATTTTTGGAACACTACATACAAAGCTGTTTATTGTTGCAAAATTATTGCGATTTCATGTTTCCGTTTACTCGTAAATCTTACACATATACAACATACTGTTTTCAAGCTCATGTAACTTTTCACAATTTTATATGTTATTGTTACAAGTTAGTTCAAAGGATTTTGATTTTCTAAATGTTGTACTTTTTTTTTATCTAAAAATAACTCAAAGTAAACATGTCGTAATTTTAATGATTTCTACTTTCATAGTGACGCATAGTCCCATAGATATATTACAAATAAATTAATTGTTTAGTTAACATGCCCAAATGAGCCCGGTAGTATAATACAACTAATATAAAAAACTAAGGAGATGTGATATGATTTCCACTGAGAAAACTATTCACCAGATACAAAAGACCAATATTGCATGCAGAAATAGGTCAGATTAGTGCCTCCAACAATGCGTTGTCTGAATATTATAGTGTTATATGTCCACTTTTGATAAAAATATATAGATTTGATATCCAAGTGCAATGGTCTATCTCCCTATACAACTATATAATACGAGATTTATTCACCCTACGAGTTTTTGTCAGAACTACACTGTTCTATCTCCACACTCCCATTGGATTATGATAACATATTCATCTAGTTAGTTCTGAGAAAATTGGTTATTGTGTTGTATCTTCTCTACATGTCAGGTATTTTTGTAATAAAATAATTGTTATCAAAATTATCTTAGTAGTGCTATGCTTAAATTGTTTGCATGCTTTGATATTAATATATGAGCATAATTGGATATATAACATTGTTAAAAAATCCATGGTATATCTCCAATAGAAATATAGGGATAAATTTTTAAAAGAACATTGTTTTTTGTGAAGAGTTCTATCTCAAGAAAAGTGAATTCTTTATTTTTGTAAGTTTCGTGTCTAAGAAATACTATTCATGTAGGTAAACTTGATTCCTATATAACTTTTTATTTCTCAATCAAATATTTATGATATTGCGCTTTTCAGATTTAATTAAATTTTTTACCACAATTGCCAAATTGAAAACACCATAATTTTAGTTCTAATAGATTCCTATATGACATCAAACTACGAAAAATGTGACAGACGCAAATCAATGACTACTACTGAATTACAGTCCCCTGTCTTGAGACAGAAACATCATGCATGTGGCGATGCTAAATTAAGGCAACTGTAGACAACAAATCTTTACCGATCTTCAGATTTTATCAATTGATAAAGAAGACAGTTCAAGATGATACACAGAAACTGAGGAAAATATAATATAAAAACAAAAATTTAACTGAGGGTCCGACAGGGTTAGGGCCTCCTGATCTGCGTGTATTAACCACCATGCTTATTCATAATCAGTCAAAATGTCAAACTCTGGAATAGGACAAACTCGGTAAATTTATAGATTAGACAACACATTGTTATCTACCCACCTAGGACTTCGAAAACATGTCGCTATTGAGTTTAGACACAGACATATCGTATTGATCAACCGATTGGTGATGTTGCCGTTAAACTTTATGTAGGGTCGTTTTCAGTCGTTATTCCTTGTAACTCTGTTAGGACAGTTTTTATGTAAGGAGCACAATTGTGCAGATACACTCCATATAGTTGAAAATGCACGAGCGTAATGCATCAATTGAGATACATACACGTCATACGATGGAGCAGACGGTTTGTTAATGCTGTGTAATGGTAAGTTGACGATTCGAAAGTTGAAATCATCATTTTATCACGGATTCCATTATATACATTGGAATCATTATACCAGTCGTAGATCAGTTGCGTTCATTCACATCTAAGACGTCACTACAAATATGTGCATAGAGATCAAGTTGGGAAATATGAAAACCTATAAGGGGCAAAAGTGCATCACCGAAAAATTATGAGTCTGTTATTTTTAGTTAACAATCTTCTTCTCGAGACATTTAGACCCTGAATTATTAAATCTACGAGAATGAAGTCCTCAATAACTGTAGAAAAATCAATAAAAACAAAAATCAATAAAAATATTGATATACCAAAGAATCTAAAATAGTTAAACCTTTTTAAGATTTCCGTCTTTGCGAAGAAATCCTTTCCCTTTGGGTTTCTCTTGTCCATTATAGTTTCTCTCTTCTAGTATCGTTTCTTTTTCCAGGGACTTTGCTTAAATTATAAGGAAGGAGCATCATATGATTCCATGAAAATTTGTTGTAACTAATTTTTTTAAAACTTTTTTGCTATAAAACAATGAAAATAAATTTCGGATCATTTTAAAATGTGTCTAGTGCTTATTCAACATTATGGTTTTATCACAAACAAAATTCTCTTTGGAAACTTGCCTCATCAATCAGGCAATTTTTTTTTTTCTGAGAAGGAATTGAATATTTACACGAAAATTTGTATCGTTGTCATTTTAAGGTATACATTATAATATACATATACATAAATAATACTTTGGTATGACGAAACGTTATCTGAAGATAGCGTTTTTTTTTATCTACATTGAAAATAACGTCATTAAAACGAAATTCTTATATATATATGGCCAATGCAACATTTGGAAACTTTTCCGTATGTTAGTTACATTTTCAACAGAAAGTAAGCTGGGAATAATTTATTTTTTAAACTATTTGGTAAAGAGTAATATTGTGTTCGGCTCTCAGTCATGGAACTAATTATGTAGGGTATCTCAAAATTTACGGATTGTTTATACATGATAGTGATGTCTTGTATTGTTTAATGTAAACTATAATTTGTATACATAATTGGTGGCCTTTTACTGTAATTTTGATTTTGCAAATGTCAGTATTTTAATGACTATGTATGTGGACTCTCAAATGTCGCATACCTTATATTCATAATCAGGATTTGAAGTCAAAAATCTAATACGTATTTTTTTCTAAATTCGGAAAAATTACTTTCGTGTAACATAAATCATCGTCAAACTAGATGGTAAGCCTAACCATTTGTACAATATATATGAATAAAGGATGAACAACATACATCAAAACAGTTTGTTAAATATCAGGTGTAACTCTCATATGGTGTTTTATCGAGATAATTGGATGAATTTCAATAAAACAATGCCTAAGAGATATTTTAAAACAATAAATTTTAGTACTCTTTGTACATTTTTTTTTCTATTAAAATTTTGTTCCCCTCTTTACTCAATTTAAATTGCTGCACATTATCAAATCAAAAACTTTATAACACTTGTTTTAAAAGATCACCAGTAAAGTTCTTAATAGAAAACTCATTAAGCTGCAGTTAAAAATACAAGAGTTTCGCAAAATAACAACAGAATGAAAGTATAATTTTTGGAAAGTGCTAATAGCTACCAAATTTTCAAAATAAGATACTTTTGGTTTATAACTCTAGCTGTTATCAATTATGTCTGATCAAAGTTACATATATATAAAAATAGTAAAAACAAGTTGCATATTTCAACAGATTCACTTTATATAGCACTAGCATATTTTCACTATAACGGATTTTTTCAAATAACATCGTCGTTTAACTAAACTTTTTTTTTCTTTTTATCTTGAAAACTCAACAATGTTCTTTCTTGTACAATATTTCGATACTTTTGAAATTATAAAAGTTAAAACCAATATTAATGTTAAACACAAATTATAAAAGTTTGAATCCATGTGTTTATATATCATATTATATATATTAAATAAGGAGATGGGGTATAGTATGTCTATCATTATTTAAAAACTGAAGGACAAATGTTCTCTTGAACTGAATTTTAATGTGCGTATTGTTATGCGTTTACTTTTCTACATTGGCTAGAGGTATAGGGGGAGGGTTGATATCTCATAAACATGTTTAACCCCGCCGCATTTTTGCGCCTGTCCCAAGTCAGGAGCCTCTAGCCTTTGTTAGTCTTGTATTATTTTTAATTTTAGTTTCTTGTGTACAATTTGGAGTTTAGTATGGCGTTCATTATCACTGAACTAGTATATATATTTGTTTAGGGGCCAGCTGAAGGACGCCTCCGGGTGCGGGAATTTCTCGCTGCATTGAAGACCTGTTGGTGGCCTTCTGCTGTTGTCTGTTCTGTGGTCGGGTTGTTGTCTCTTTGACACATTCCCCATTTCCATTCTCAATTTTATAAAAAGAAAATTACCAATATTTTACAACTTCACTTATGTGTTTTAGATTATATTGATGTCAGTCATATTCTCTTGGATTGTAAAGAGTTATAAAGAGAAAACTGGGAAATACGACAGGGAGAAACTTCTTCTAGAGACCAAAAGACGAGCAGCAAGTCCATGTTCATCTCTTTTAGGTAAAGTTTGTTTACATAAACATACATTTCAAAGCAATGCAATATTTGTTGTTCAACCTCATATGTCCCCAATTAATCCGTTTTCATTTAAAACACTGAGGTGAAACGCTAGGGCATGACATCAATATAAAGTAATATATATTTTAAATATAAAAAAAAAACATGTAATTACTACATAAAGAATTTGATTCGATTGTTCACTTTTTGGATGAGAACAATTAAACAGTCCGGTCACCAATGAAGAAAAAATATGCATATGATCATTATGGAAACTTATGAAATATCAGTTTTTTCACAGATGACGACTGATATGTTCCAATTGTCGTAACCACAATTCAATCATTCTTTTTTCGCAAATGTGACCTACCGAATTATACGTATCATCGGGATTGTACTCACATTAGCAACAAGACGGGTGACACATATTGAGCAGGATGTTCTTATCCTACCGGAGCACACGAGATTACCCCGGGTTTTTTTGTGGGGTTCGTGTTGCTCAGTCTTTAGTTTTATATGTTGTGTTTTGTATACTGTTGTTTGTCTTTTGGTCTTTCCTTTATTTGCCATGGTGTTGTTAGTTTAGTCCCGACCTATGAGTTTGAATATCCCTTTAGTATCTTTCGCCTCTCTTTTTGAGAACCTTAAAATTCCGAAAGATTTGCCAAATACTAATTCATCTCAGGACACTTTGCCTCAAGGAGTTGGAACCTTAGTTTCTTAAACCTTATCTGTATTTGTCAACGGGAAAAAATTAGGGAGAATATAATAAATTGACAGAAACGTTATCAAGCAAAACTTATCAGAAAGATAAAATCTGTAAATAGGTCAACACGACTGAAAATTTCTTTGGACTCCATAAAAACTTTATTGCCTTAAATGACATTTTTTATCGGTGTACCGAAAGTCGCATATTGCGAGACGTTTTTAAATACCTTATCTGATTCATTTGACAATACTCCGGCGGCCCGATGGCGTAAACTATTTGTATAATATATATAAAGCTATATATTTCAGAGGTTAACTATACTCGTTGTATGATGTACATGTCTGTCTGGCAGAGTTCATTTGAACGTGACCTCATGTTCATGGTTCAGTAGTCAAAGATTTGTTTTCTTGGTTTGATCTGTTTCCCAGATACTATAAGAAAAACATTAACTACATTTGGTATATGCGATGATTTAAAGGCGTGAAATCTACATTTATCATTGGTGTTGTTAAGTTTAATTTATACTTTAAATATAACAGTTTTCTCAAGACATTCCGCATATATTCAATCATGATCAGTAAAGCAAACGAAATATTTCAGCGTGTTCACTTTTGTTATCCTTTTGGACATACACTACAGTGCATGGAGAGAAACTGTAATCTGAGAAACTAATCATCAAAATAAGGTATAAAAATATGTCAATAATCTACTTTTTCAGACGACTCCTTAGCTCCTTGAAATGAAAATTTAAACCCATTTCTTACCTTTTAGTCCAAAACTAAAGGAGATAGAGACACGCCTTTAAGAGCAAAAATGGTCAGAATGACAAGGACTAGAAATAGGTCAGATAGCCGAAATTTTCAGTCGACTTGTTATAGATGTTATTGCTATCAAATGAGGATTTTAACAATTTTAAGCATATGTATCTTTTAGCAGCTGCACCAAGAGCGCATGACACGCCCTTTGTGGCATATTGAGAACATATTGTTATAGCAACGGATGCTATCTTAAACACAGTCCCATATCGACGTCCTTACCACGGGGACATGGATTTTGCACTCCAATAGAAAATATCATTGTTCAATAGATTATACATCTTTGAAATGCCCGTATTACATACTTTTATACTAAATATAGGTTATCCCAAGGTGGTTTGGGAGATAATCAAGTACATGAAATAAACAAGTCTTGCTGCGAACACTGTTAACCCCGCCACATTCTGTATGTGCCTGTCCCAAGTCAGGAGCCTGTTATTCAGTAGTTGTCGTTTGTTGCTGTATATCATATTTGTTTTTTGCTCATTATTTTGTACATAAATCAGGCCGTTAGTTTTCTCGTTTGAATTGTTTCACATTTGTCATTTCGGGGCCTTTTATAGCTCACTATGAGGTATTGGTTTTGCTCATTGCTGACGGCCGTACGGTAACCTACAGTCATTAATTTCTATGGCATTTGGTCTCTTGTGTAGAGTTGTCTCGTTAGCAATCATACCACATCTTCTTTTTTATATGTGGTATATTATATTTGGCCACGTTTTTGCAGAAAAGGCCAAAATTTTTCTATCAGCATAAAAGATGTAACTGTACAAGTCCATGAAACCTAACAAAATCAAATGTCAGTATATAGATAGCTATTCATAATTTTTCTAATTTCTGTTGTTAAAGATGTGTACAAAAAGAAGCAAGCTCCATTGAAACCAAAGAAACTTGCTAGATTGAAAGAAAAAAGACAGCAGCGACTTCGAATGCAAGAGATATTTATAGAACTAGTTTTATATACAATATTCCTCGCTGTTTTGTATTGTGTCAGTTTTAGTAACAGGGATTCTACGTGGTATAACGTCAAAAATCTTCTAGAGCAGCATCTTGTTACATCAAATAATATCCCAGCAGGGGATTCAACGTTAAAATATGATCAGGTAATTGTCTTTCCTGTTTTATATAACGTTATTTTTACAATGTAAAAAATGTGAAGAAAAAAATACGAGTTGAGTACAGCCAGATAATACTTCAACCATATACACATATAAATGTACGATAAGGAATTAACAAATCTTGGACGAAGCATATAAACACATAAAAGCCTGGCGAGATATCCGATGCATGTATAATATGATGCGTTGTGAAAAGAGACACAAGTTATACATCACAACTATGAATAAGGGGGTGTCACTACTTATAAACTTACTAGTGACATTTTAGATACAAACTGAGCAATTATGCCAGAATTATAATTTACAGTCACAAATTCGTAATGTAATGTGCCAGGCCGAGCGTGCTTATCGACTTCATAAATCTCATCAATGACACTATAATCAAAACAGTTGGAAGGCCAAAATCATTTACGAAGTGAACTTTGGCATATAAATACTATTGTTTTTCTATACTAGTCATAGATGGTCTTGTGCAGATTTTGACAACATTTTCAAATGTTTGGTTTTAATGCTATTCAATTATTCGGCTGCTTTGATTTGACATAAAAGATCAGTCTTTTGCAGAGAAAACGTGCGTCTTTTACTAAATCCCCCAAGGGTGACTGGGGAATAGAAGTATGGTCACCATTGGTCTTTCTCCGACCGGCAGTAAAACCCTTGCTAAAGTGGGGTGTCCGTTTGGCTGTGCAGGATGTACAAATTTGCAGCCACGTCCGGTCAGAATGGGGACGTTAAATCCGATGCCTCGAGTAAAGAGAGTGCCACGCTCTTTGCACGTTAAGAACCCTTGCAACAACTCTTTGAGGGGTCCGTAGGTGACCTGTTGCAAGGTATAAACTTCTGTCCCTATCCAATACACCCTTATTTCCCGTTGCAGTCTAAATTTCTCCGACCTTAATCCCGGACGCCCCTATTACAGAACCTACATATTGTATTTATTGTTAATTGGTTCTCGTCCTGAATATGCATGAAATATTTGCCACTGGACGTCAAGCAACCAACAATCAATCAATCTTTTACTAAATTATAAGGCTGATATTTTTTATGAGCTTTTACAACCTTTTTGTCGATACCACTAGTACTGCCTGTCGACGTTTTTCCCCCAAAGAAAATACAAGCCATGTAGTCAGTACTACTGTTCCAACATGAAATATCAATGATACGTCATTTTGTAAATTTACTGTTCATTAAACTGTAAAATCTCTACTGTTTTTTTATAATAATTTTTTCTTTGCTCTTCAATCTGACGTACGAGTTTTTATAGATCTCAAACATCTACCTCAATCTAATATTATTTTCGTCGTTATACGCCGTCTTATACAGGACATATTATAGGATACCGTAGTCCGTCCGATTGTCCATCCGTATGTTAACTCAAAAAATATTTTTCGTGATCTCATAGTTGCATCAATTTTATCATGCCAGAGTTATGGGCCTTTATTCATGAATAATTTGAAACCTTCTCAAATGTTGTACAAAAAAATCTCATAATTGAAAACAAATTTTAGATTTTTATCTTGCCATTTGTTCATTTTTACCTTTGTTTTATCCAACTGTAAATAGGCCCGTCATTCATTTTGAAGTAATAATCAAATAGATTGATTGATTGTTGTTTGCTTAACGTCCAGTGGCGAATAATCAAATAGATATGTAGCTTATGTTATCCATTCATAATTCAATATGTATAACTAAGACGCAAAATATGAAATTCACCTGATAACATCTGTGGTCATATGTCTTATACTATTAGAATGTTTTACAGGTTACAACTGCATCTAATTTATATGTATGGATCGATGATACCCTTATCCCGTTTCTTTTTCCACGGTATCATACCAATGGAGATCAACTGAATGCAGATAGAAGATTATATGTACAAGACCAAGTAAATTTTCGTGTTGGTCCAATGAGACTGAGACAACTAAGAGCAGTTCAAGGTACGATACATAAAACATGTAATGTAATTTGTATAACTTGGCCGATGAATTTAATGACCGGTTCTGACCAATGAAATTAAAGATTAGAGCTTACTCTGGCATCAATTATCTTAGTAGTTGTGTCTGTTCTCTTTAGAATTTTGGCAAATTTCAATCAAACAATATTCGTATTCACAAGCTGAATAATAACATTATATAAGTGGCTGGAGTCTAAAGTGCTTTTTTAGATTTTCCTTCGTCTGGAACGCACTAACCTAGACATTTGAAAGCCATAATATTTACATTCTTAAACGCATACTAAAGTAGATGATAATACAAGACATGAACATACAGGTTGACAG